CGGTGTTACATGCGTCTTTTGTACGTGTGAGGAAACGCTGCAATGAGTCACATTCGCGACAAACTCATGTGAGGATTTTTTCCCTATTGTGGTGTATTGTGGTGGAAACTGATTAGTGTGCTTTTCGTGCTGTGTGGAGTTTTCATTGGCGTTCCAAATCCGCCATGGGAAGTGCATGAGGGGTTGTGTTCGTTTCGTAAACTCGTAATACATTTAGTCCTCTGGGCAAGACGATACATACAACACTAGGAATATATATGTTGATCTATCCTGAAAAACCTAAACTGAAATACATTTTCTACAACTTGATCGATCTCGTTTTCAACTTGACTAAGTTGTTCGCGATGAAATACCGCCAGAACGGCAGTTGCCTTGACATATGTCTCTTTTTTTGTTGCTTCAGAGGCAGCAGTCGCACTTCGATACCTTTCCGTACATCCGGTTTACTTCTTTCATAATCATGAGTCTGGTGTGTAAGTAATGATTTCAGATTGCAACCAGACGATACTTCCAAGATTTGCGCTAGACACCTTCTTCTCATGCGCTCAGAAATTAAGGTATGCAATTCACTGGACTCGTCCTGCTATCGAGCTTAGCTGTGCTGTAACCTCTATACTACGTGATTTGACTGTTTAAGGAGACCCTTCGTGCTGCCTGCTCAGATGAACACCTTGTTGAAGAGTTAATGTTGAATACGGGATTAGGGAAAGAGTCTATTGTCTCTATTCTCAAACAGCATGGATATCATGATGGAATGGAGAGCATTTCTCCAGAACTAGGTATTTCATATATTATCTGGTTGGAGAATTTCGGGTTCCTGTTACGCTTGAATTCTATTTTGCAGAAAACAGGGCTGATCACCACTCCACGCCCAAGTCTTCGACGAGCCGATCGAGGGGTGGCAATGTTACTTTTGATGTGCCGAAACTCGATATCTCAGAAGTCCGCAATGATAGACATTCTCCAGAAGTCGTGAGCCCGTAAGTTTTGCTTTGCGGGTTACCCGGCTTACCGGTCCTTTTGATGATAACTATAATTTTTACAGTAATAGCGCTCACGTCGAATTCGAAGAGATTCCAAACACCCCTGATGTTCAACAACATCGCAAGACTGCACCTCATCGCGTAGCAGTAAGTTCACCGTATTATATGTGGGCAAGCTTGCGTTTTGTGCTGGGTCAAAGGCGGAAGCGTTGGCCCCGGCGGGACGTGAACCCGTACCGAAGGGTTTCCGGGCTAGTGCGCTATCCGGTGCGCCACCAGGGCCGCCTCTCACCCACCCACCTTCAAGTTTTTTAGGTCACGGCCTTAAAGTGCGCTCTTTCTCGTGGCCGCGTAAGCTCTAAGCGCTGTATCTGTACTTCCTAGTAGCTGAAAAAGCTGGTGTGCGGTCAGAACGTTAGATCAATATTATACTTTCCTGGTCGCTCAAAACGCTACCACAAAACGCTGTAAGAAGTATGAAGGCACTCTTACAGCACTTTCACTTTTAGTGTAATAAGACGTTGAGCCGATATCGTCACTGAACCGGAAGGTTGGAGGCTTTATGTTAGCAAGCTTGCCAGCCGACTCATCACTTCAAACGACTGAGTGCTTTAAGGCTACGGCGTAAGAAGGTTCAGCTAAGAGGGTGATAGGCAGCTCTGGTGGTGTAACGGATAGCATATTCGCCCGGGAAGCATGAGCAACGGGTTCGAGTCTCGTCTAGGGCCAACAGTCTCGATCATAACTCAACATTGTTATGGTAGTTTTCGCTTGCATTTTAGTGACATTTGCTAGCTTCACATTGAGGTTTCGATTGATTATAGGCTGAACAAGGCACAACGTTTGTGGAAAACAGCCCACGTGAAGTGACTGATAGCTCTGCAGAAATAAGCGACCTTGCGAAGCGGGTAGGCTACGTAACTTTTTTAGGGATTCTCGAGCCGAGTTCATACTTAGCGAATTGGAGGAAGATTCCTATTCTCCCAAGTCGCTAGTGACCGTAGTCGATCTGTTGATTCCCTTTCATTAATTTTCGTGCATTTTCCGAAGAACGTCGATTGTCCGATTCTCATATTCTTCCCAGTCGCTAAATATCAGCACATCTTCACTTTCCTATAAAATGCACTCTTGTTTGTATTTCACCGAATTTGTGCGCATTTCAGTTTGGAGCTCGTCTTTATCAAGACGCGTCGCTTGTTGATCAGCTTCGAAATGTCAATCGAGAGAAATCTTTCGTTGAACAGCTGCGCGACATTATTGCAACATCGGCTACCATGTCAACTGTGCAGTTAAAATTCATTCCATCTGTGCCTTTAGGTTTGTATTTTGTCGAAGTATTCCACGCGTAGCCATGTTTCTGAGATCATTTTCAAAGCGAATTCAGCAAATACCGCCACCATCTGCAAGGAGATTGACGTGCAAACCTCAATTCGTGTGACGGAGTTGCCGATTCTAACGAAAGAGGTAGTCATCGTTTTGTAATTTTTTCCGCCACAAATCGTAACATGTCTTTCAGGTTCGTGATAATGCTACTGATGTTCCCTCGCTCGATTATTTCTCCACATCGGACCTTGGTGGCTTGAAACAACTTCCTGAATCGTTCGTCGCAACCCAAGAAGATGCGTCCTCGTCCGCGTTTAGTTCTGATCAAAGCGCTGGTCAAATCACTAAAAGCATGATTAGGTAAGCACGCCACACAACTTCTTTACATTTCCCGTTTATTCCACTCAATTTTTCAGCAGAGCGCATACCGTAATTCCATTTGCCCATGATGGAAGCGTTCAAGTTACTCCATCAAAAACCGTCCGAATCTCAGAGCTTGTGGAAGACTCGTTCCTTAACGGTACGGCAGTAGATGACACGACATTTCGAGAGCCAACTTTTACAATTTCTCCTAGTGAGTGTACAGTTTAGAACTATTTCTTATTCCGTTTCTAACTAGAACAGAATATAGAGGCAGTTGGGCGACAGTGGGGCGGGAGGGGATTTTATATTTTTGCTAGACCCATCGTCGTGTCGAGCCATCTAGAGAGCTATTTCATGAGCTTACAAGAGTTGACAGGTTTTACCGTGGTGGCTCGACGAGCTTGCTCCAGCTTCACAAGAGTTCACAGGTTTCACCAGAGTGAGACTTGTAAACCGGAACTAGTGAAGCAGCGAAAGTGCAGAATGCTATCCCCTCCGCCCTCGTCGCCGTACCGCGCCTAGAGTATGCTAGTTTGCTGATCTTGGAATGAGTGTTACGATGGATTCTCCTTAATACGTTCTTGTAGATCTTGCTGGAAAGGCAAGTCCACGAACTCCAAGGGTATCGGAATCACCGTGGCGGCCGTCTTCACGTCGCCTCCACCTTCAAGAAGAAGATATTTCTACAAGTCAAGAGACTGACTCGTTGGGTATGTGTTTCTTATCCAGTTTTTTTTTGTGTGGCGAAGGTATTTTCAGTGGCGGTAGTGGCGGATGGGGGAATAGGGTCAGGCTGCGTGCATACTTCGCGTCAGCGTCACCAGCGACCATCAGCGCCCACCAGCGCTCCGAGCGTACGCTAGCGCCAGTGACTAGGAAAGTACAGATATCTTCTTGCGAACGCCAGCGTCCCAGGGTCTGCCAGCGTCCACCAGCTATTAGGAAAGTATGGATATCGATCCAGGAAACGCCAGCGTCTACCAGCATACAGCAGCGTTTTTGCGGGCACTGTTGAACTTGAGCAAAACTGAACGCTGCTGTACTTTATTTATTTATTTATTTATTTACTTATGCGCACATAGAACGCACCCAAATTAAACAATGTGGCAATGTAGATAACAAATACTAAAGCAAACAACCAAAAAAAACGCATACGTTGTGTACGCGCGTACGTTGGCGCACGCTGTTCGATACCTATACTTTCCTAGTCGCTGGTGGAGGCTGATTGTCGCCGATGGACGCTGACGCAAAGCATGAATGTAGCCTTACTCGGCGGCGTGACTGTGCAACGTTTCTGTTTTGCCATGTCTTTCCGAAGAATCCTCTAATCAAGCGTATACTCCTTTTTCTATTCGATAGGAGGGCGTTTTGCCATGACGTGGCGTAGTCGCTCTTTCTCTCCCTAATTAATACCACTGTTACCTACTACCATTGATTCTGAATCAGTTCCTTTATAGAAGTGGTCTCGGTAAGTACTGGTGAAGCGCGTCGCCTGGTGGACGAATGCTCAAGTATTGCTCAAAGGGAGAATCTGAGCAGTCCGATAGGCGGAAAGGAGTTGAGAAACGGTACGTGTGCATGTGGAAATCGCAGCTGATCTCATTTTTCCTATCCAGCTGGTAGCATGTCTGTTTAGATGTGGTGGATGACGAAGACTCATTAAAAGAAAGTCAAGATCTGAGTCATCATGATGAAGAACACACGTACAACCAAGTATCACAGATAGCAAGTGAATAGCAAAATTTGCCTTAGAATTTTTTTCTTGAGAATTATTGATTCATCGTGTTGTAAGTATCTAGTGTTTGTGGTTCATTTTCAATTATTGATGTAATCTCGGTGCATGGCCGTAGTCGTCCTTGACCCGCACTGCGCCCATCGCGTAGTTTTCCATTAGTTACGGTAATAATTTCATCCATGCAACTTCGTCTTTTTTCTGTGCTTTAGGATCTCACATGAGAAATTGATCTCGTCCGACGCGTCGTCGATTTCAGTCGTTCACTCATGTATGTAGTTTATATGCAATAAAGGTTATTATTGGTCTACAATTAGTTTATTGGTAGTGTTAGATGCATTTCCATATTAGAATCGTATTGCTCGTCCTTCTTGAAATATATAGCGCAACATGACCGTACAGTACCTTGATCCTCGTATGAAGTTGGCAACATGAAGGTTTTAAAGCCAGTTGGTACGACAAATCCTTATGACATGCAGGACTGCCTGGCAGGATGGAATTCCACGCCCCTGAGCAGGCGCTGCATAGTGCCTTTTTCCAGGGAATTGGCACTTGTAAGGCCCGTATCAAGCTGGATGCCCATAACCGACCCAGACGCCCACCGTCGCCCGGCCGCCCACAAAAGGACGACCGCACCTGATGCTCGTCTCGCTTCGGTTCATTTGCGAAGTGCAGAGAAAAGCGAATTGGTCGATATCAAGCAGCTGCGGTGCTGCATGAATGTATGAGTACATACATCTAGCTGCGCCAGGCCGTAGCGGTTATTGGCATGACGCCTGAGGGGAACTCGTCCAAAATTGCTTTCTGAGTCTTGAAAAAGGAAGACTTTTCTTTGCAGATTTTTGACCGATTCACTCTCGTTTTCTCCACCATATGTATAGCACCCTGCTAGGATTTTAGACCGAGTACCAAATTATCGTGCCTTATGCCTTTAAACAGTGTCATGAACCAGCTTAGGCGCTAAGGTTACGAGCATAGGATAAGTTGAGTCCATTTAGGCAGTTGCATGGTCATGTCGTGTTACAATAGAATGGTAAATCAGGTTTTTTTTTCGTTGCTTTTAACTGATTTATAGAGTTCAGAGTCAGGCCGCAGTGCCTCGCCACGTAGGGCGGGCGCGAGGCTGCGAAAATGAGCGGTTCTTGTGGAATAGAGAGGAGTCATGTTCCGAACATACAATTGCGTTCGAGTTTCAATTAGTCTCCGCAGAATTTGGACTTAAGCCGTCAGATATCCAGGTAGTTAGCGAAATTAGGTGGCTAAAATTCATATTTGACTGGGACCCCATGCGTCAAGTGTGGACGTAAGCCTCGCCGTTGTGTAGATTGAAAGAAATTTATGGACCTTCAATAAAAGGCATAGGCAAAGAACGATGGGAATAGCAAACCACACCAAGCCTGCGCTAGTGAGTGTAATAGAAGTTACGCAAGAAAGAAGAAAAGAAGAAATTAAGGTTTTACTGACACTGAGTCATGTTTCCCACTTAGTCATTCGACGCACAAAAACGTTATCTCTTTTGAACCAATATGATAAGCGCTTGTGCTTTCTGATAGTTGATCTCATGCGTACAGTAGCTGACGCTTCGGCGGTGCACCCTCAAAGAACGCTTACACTCACAAGAGTCGTGTATGCAGCTTGTTATATTTTATACTGGCAGCAAAACCACAGTTTTGTTAAGGTTCGTGAAATAAAAACAAATCCATTGGGCATTTGTTTTCCTGTTCCGAGATTCTGTGTGGGACCGTTGTACGTAGGAAAATGCAGTTTCCTTTTGATTGAGTTCGTTAGAGGGATTACTGCTAATGACTACCTTCGTTGATCTGAAGAGAAGCTTGGGCCCTGAAAGTTACCGGCGAAAGTTTGGAATACAAAAGCTGCTGGCGTACAACGAGAATGCATAGGAATTGTAGAGAAGTGAGGAAGGTGGCGCTGTTGGGACGGCACTATTGTAAGCTGTCAAAATACAAGACAAAAACTAGTAATTTCTTGTAATGCTTTGGAATGGTACCGATTCAACTTGTACACCATGGGTCCGGATTTTACTATTTTTTCTAAACATTTACAATAAAAGAAAACGTTTACTATGTTATTGTTTGTGTTTAGGATTCGTAAAATTGGTCGATCTTTGCTGCCTCGGTATACATACATAGTACGAGTGGGCCTGCTACAATTTTGGTTTACTTTACAGCAGTTTATAGAACTTAGCGAAATGATTCAGCACATTAACAGGAGTACAAAATACAACCTCCACTCCCGTAGCGGACTTGCTTCTTTACTTTCTGTCACTGTTCTGCGTTTATCTACTTGTTTTAACATATTATGCTTTCTATTCTTTGACTTCTTGCTTCAGTCGTCCTCGCTTTATTAGAGAACAGCCGGCAGGAAAGCGAAGCCTATGAACCAACAACATAACGAACATGGGCAAACGACAATATCACACGGCTGTGAATTTTGACAACGTTTACAGTTTGGCTGAGTGACTGGTTCTGTAGATTCTGCGTTTGTTTGTTGTGTTATCTTGCGTTGACCGTGACAGACACATTCAACAATAAAACTTACAACCAAGATAAAACCTGAAAACCACGGTAAATGCAAACCAGAACACTAACATCATTAGGTATAATCACCGATAATAGCAATTCACAATAACTAGCTTCTTAGGTACAGAATAGGGCCTCAGTGTGGTTGTGTTTGGCCAGTATGGTCACAAATATCCATCTGCGAGTACATTCTATTGCATGATGTATATGGCTTCGTCACCACGTTGTTGTTCTCGTCTTACATGTTTACCAACGTTTGGCAACCTGAATTTAGACAGAAAGCGGAACCACAGCGTAAGTGTTCGGGGGCTGTTGCTTTTTCCCATCGAGAATTTGATGCTCATGCTTTGAATATTTCAGGCAGACGCGGTTGCGATACTATCTTCATATATGTGATCGCGCCGCCATTTATCTATTCATAGCAGCCTCCTACACACCATGGCTAACTCTTCGACATTGTGGATACCCTGGCCTGAACCTGAAGTGGATGATCTGGGTGTTCGCACTCTTGAAACGTGGTAATGCGTGTTACTGTATCAGTACAATTTCCACGAAAGGTATGTTTTACTGAAATTCTCACGCTGTATTAAACTGGCGGAGAAGTACTGTCATACTTTTTTGAACTCAGAATACTTGCTCATACTTTGAGGAATACCCAAGAAGTTACTCCTCATAAGATAACCACCCAGGGAGTCAAATTAGGCCGCACATGCCTTGAAAATAACAGTGCAGCCCATCCCTTCGAAAAAAGGTCGAGCTGAACTTTGGATCCAAGTACACGCTGAGAATCGAGATGATGTCCAATTTTGCGTCGCGCTGGGCTGCATTGCGAAGCGACGGCTTCCATTAGGTGCTAAGAACAGGCAAGAACCTCATAAAAAGAAAGCCTGATTGAAAAAAAACATGGCAAAACTTTCCCGTCAACCTAGCATGTGTGACTTCTAATTGAAAAAGTCGTCAACCTAGGTGTTGCAGGTTCAAAACACTGGAAACACTTCTTTATATATTGATTGCTGGTGGACCATCTGTGGCCATTTTCTCTATGGTGAGTTATCTGTTGATTTCTCGCTTATCGCGAGGTTTTCTAGCGATTAATTAGCATATCCAAAAATAACATGCGAAATGGACATCATAGTTACTCGTTACTCACTGATAAAGTCGACGAAAATAACTTTTCTTACAGAATGATCGCACTGGCCTGGAGTGGATGATTGTCGGTGGCATAGTTTACATAACTGGAGTAGTATTTTTCAAATTAGATGGCATCGTGCCTTTTGCGCATGCAATTTGGCATGTGTTCGTGCTCATTGGTGAGTATCGTTGCGTTTTTGATAGCTCTCAAATAATATTTCATTTGCTTTTGAGGCGCATCTTGCCATACTTATGCCGTGTATTCCACATTGCTCGGGCCAGATCCGAATAATCCCGTTCCGGATCTGTCACGCTTGGAGCTATAGTTCTAGGATTTCTAGAACTTGGAGAAAACATTCGTCATGGTAGGCCTATCCATTGACGGCTATATTTAGGACTTCAGGACTTCCTTTCATTTTTTTGTATAGGTTTTTTCTAGGGAGTTGCATTTTTATTGCACCTTAGGGTAGGATAGAATATTGTTATTGTACAGTATTTCTACATAAGAACTCGTGTCTGACACCAAAGCCGAATCCAAAGACTTTTCTTGACCATCTTGCTCCAAGTTACATTTATTTATTTGGGTTGTATGAAAGGAGTTGTTGCAAGAACTTCGTGCTCTCGTGTCGTCCACTTTCGATACGCTGTGAAACCATCATACGCCTCACGCGTGGTGCTTCGGCCATCTCAGCATAATAGTTTTGTGGAAGGGACAACAGTAACAGTCTTATTCTATTTTCCTCCAGGCCCTTTTAGTTACTGCAATCTGAGTTAGACCGTCAGCAGTCAGAAAGCACGAGTGTTCTGTAACACCTGCTAGTTTTGTCGTACGTTAGACCGCGTTCAAACTTCGCGATAGGATCGCGCGACCACGAGCGCGGGACGCTCTACCGCCAAACAGTGCACTGTCGGAACGCACAATGTCGAGCGATCCAATCGAGCGATCCGATCGCAAAGTCTAAACGCGGTCTTAGATTCGCGTAGGTTGTACCAGACGTGATAGTGTCTGCATTACCCATTTTAGCAGAACAATTTTGTGCACCATGAGCGCCTCATTACATAACTATAGACTTTTAGAGTCGAAGTAAGTGAAGATGTATCGCATAATAACAGAAGCATATTACAAGAGTTCATTTTAGTTATGCCTTCCACTTTTCAGTTTTCTAGAAATAGAGGAAAGGTGAAGAAGTTGATAGTAACCTCATACTTTCATACTGCTAATTGATCTGGTCGCCTGTTCTTTTCTTCCGGTTTTGCTCTGGAATTCGGTGCATCTTTTGTGCTATGTTTGTATGTTTTTTTTCTTCTTTTAGAAATCTCCGATTTGTTTTCGCTCAATTGTGTTAAGTACAACGATAGGCCCAATCTTGCCATCGATAGATCTTTTGCTTGCCCGCAGTCATGATCTTATATATGAGATTCTATGTTGGAAATGTGATGTTGTCATTAATAAACTTGGTATTCTCGTCCAGGTCGACATGCTACGCAGCAGTCCTCTCTATAGTCAAGCGTGACCTCATTCCAGCTAAGGACCCGATACTCCGGCTCTATCATCGCTTTACATCTACTGCCACCATTTCCAGGCGATTTAAAAAAATTGTCGGGCGAGGGAAGATGTGGTTATGTTCATTCTCTCACATGGACTCCTTTCAGCAAACGAAATACGTTCCCAATAAAACGGGCAATCTGCATGTTTTCTCAATCAATGGCAATCTTGATTTCTAAAGCAATTATATACAGGGGGGGGCCAAAAAAAGTCATTCCGGCCGAGTCACATATGAGCGAAGTTTTCGCAGCCCAGACAGAGGAAGTGGATATGAGTACCAGGGCGGAAGATACCCAAGATCTTCCTCTATAAGCAGGAGCCGGCTGCCGCCATTCACCTTCATGTACACCAAAATATGAAGTCATCTCCAGTCGCGGCCTGAGTGGAGAACGCCTTTGGAATTCACGTGGCCTCCAAACAGCTGCGGAACTTCTTGAATGGAATCACCCATGGATAGCTACCTGGAACCACACTCTGATCTGCAAGACCCAAACATCGAGCAGCTCCGGCAACGTCGCTACGGTCCAGGACATCATCTTCACCCCATTCACCAAGGCGCGGGTTGATGGTGGACCGCCGTACCTGGAATGGGAAGACCGATATTTTCTTTGTAGACCCCGACTGAAGGTGAGCGCTGGCGGTTACATCAAGTAACTCGAGAAGGATATCCTCCCTACATGTGGTCGCCCGTACCTTCTTGGAGACCTTGTGCTGCTACAGGTTTGGGTGCCACCACATGGAATCGAAGGGTTTTGGAAAAACTCCCGCCTACTTCGAATGGAAGGGCGTTTCGTACCTGATGAAGATGTAATATTGAAATATGTCCCCTGACCTGAACCCACTCAATTACCTAGTTCGGGCGGAGCTCAACAGGGTGGTCTACAGTGGCGGAGAAATCAACGATCTCGCTCAACTCCGGTACCCACTCACTTTCGCCTCCGAATCCTCGAGGCGCTCCTCCCAGAAGGGGGGTAGCTTATAGTATTTAAGTGCTCTTAGAATTATGTATAAAAATTTCATATAAAAATTGAATCAAGGTTAACTATAGCGTCTGAAATTATGCGAGAAAAATGACTTTTTTGGCCCCCCCCTGCCCTTACCTTATCCCTGAGACGGGGTAGGCGTGGCATTCGAACATGGCACAGAACTGGTTACTCGTGGGATATTTCAATTTGAGACAACCGCCATCTTGTTCTTTGTTGGACAGAGACGTGACCACATTTGGGTCAAAATGAAAATATCTCTCCAAAAGCATAGCCACCACGACGTTTAGTTGAAGTACGCAGCCACGCCTACCTCATCTCAGGGTTTTCGAGTGTAAGAGTGCAGTCTTCATAGTCCGCCCACGCTATTCTCTAAGTGCAGCACTTGCGCCGATACAATTGTCAAAAAGCAAAACTCGACACTAGATGCACTAGCAGTGAAAGATGTAATGTAAATTTAAATTTATGGTGAACAAGTATTAAACTTCTATCTGGTCTATGTATCGCACCCAACTTAAACGAAAAATGAACAGTCAGGATGCAGTGGGGCACAAATCCGCTACCGAGGAAGGGGGGAGGGACATTTTTACGCCCCATGAGAACAGGCGATTCTGTAAAGTCCTGGTAATTCTTGTAACGCTACGAAGCGATAAAAACTTGTCTATCGGGCAACCACCTAGCCAACTACCTCCCTGTACCTCGGGAAAGGGATGTGAACAGTCATAATTCCTCCCGTCCCCTTCCTTAGACTTAAAGGCAGCGCCGCGTTCAAATTTGATGAGTATGCGGCAGGTAGTAATAGCAAGGTAGCAAGAAACCTATTAGTGAAGAAAAATCAAAAAGAAAACATGCAAAATGCCCTATAAGGAGTTTCATACCGAATAGCGGTTGTACGTGCTTAAGGCGAAGAGAAGGAGTGGTTGCACGAGTTCTCACTTGTTGATTTCAGCTGTTTCCCCTTATCACCTCACTCTCACCACACGACGTGGAGAGAAGCAGCAATGGAACAACCGCACCATCAGGCAACCATTAGAAATGAAGTTGGGCGTCGTGGTCGCCAGGTGGGCGGGGCGGTCGACTCTTTACTAGCGATAGGCG